CATTGGCCTAGTCATGGCATATTGACAATTTAATTCAGTTGACGCTTCGGCTGTGAGTGACACACAGTTGGCAGTATTCTCCAATTTGAGTATGGATTATGAGTAGGGAGTGTGATGCATGTCGCTAATGAATATCAGATCAGATTTTCCATATGTGTACTCCTTCCGATGTACCATTTCTCCTCAAATTAGTAACACGTATACATAAATGCAACTTTCAATGCACTCCCTTCAATGATGCTGATGTGCGATTTACATCAGGCCTCCAACCATGTCACATAACAACATGATCTCAGTTTGCTATTCTATTGCAATGCCATGATCCACTATTCCTGTGGCATCTGACATCGCCTCTATCCGGAACAGTCTACGGAAAGAGATAAGAACTCCCTACTGTATTGACCTTTGTTTCTTAATGAGATTAAGTGCAAGATAGGACATGCAACTTTACTTACCATCCCCCATATTTGTCCTAGGTAGAAATATTGCCAACACCTATTTACTTTAGAAATTGCCCCAAAGGGAGTTTCAGTCGAGCAAGAGCTGGAATGTTTTCTCATCTATAAAAGAGTGCAGTATTGAAAATGAAAATGCAAGCAAGAAAACACAGAGTTATTGACAGGCAAGCCAATGGAATTAGTTTGTTGCATTGAAACAACTGACTGTAGCATTGAAACAACTGACTGCAACACGGAAACGTGAATGTTGTCACCATAGTGATCCTATTCAATTACTTAGTATTCTAATTCCTAGTTCTATGGTTGTAACATTGGCTTCAGAGTTTATAGGCCTGCATTACACTCTTTCATTTCATAGTTCAACAGCAAAGTAAGCTGTAAAATAGACCTTACCCTTTATAGGGAAGTATAGATCACTTTCAAACCACATACTGAGGAGACCCTTCCCTTTTTTAGGGTAAGAGCTACCACAGATAACTACAAAACATACTGTAGGTAGGGATGTTGCGGTGACCTTATTACCACCACACCGGCAGTCATGACCTGAGTAAAATTCCATGTGACCTTTGAGTCAACGGTAATCTCCTTTTGAATAACCTAGTAATAGGGAATGTTTTAATATCTTCGTATTGAATTGGGTGACACATTACCTTTAGCTATATAGAATATCTCACCATCTCCTCCTCTCTCTCCTTTATTCATTTCTCGAGCGTGCAGAGGCGCTGAAATATTTTTTGTTGTGAAACTATGTTACCATCGATGTTCCCGAACAGATTTCACTTGGTTTCCCAAATTAAGCACGGGGTAGCTGCAGGAACAAGGTTGGAGAGCCCATGGCATACATAGTCTGGGCGGAATATTACCCATCAGGCAGCGAGAGCATGCTCCTCAAACAGTGGTTGATGCGTGGAGTGAAATAAGTGTTCCTATATTTATGTCTCAGCTGCTCATGTTAAGCACATGCTCCGCTATAAAACCAAAGTGGCCTACCCATCATCATTGAAAACGGACCGGCGGGAAAGCGCTCGGCCTCCATTCGCTATTCGAGATTATACAGATGACATGTCTTTTTTCCCCTGTCCCTGTTCATGCCCATTTGACATATTAGTAAAGACCAGATTAAATTGAGAATAGTCTGATGGGTGAAAATATGATCACTTGATGAGAGAACAGCTGTGCAGCCTGAGGCAAGGAACAGAGTGCAAGCTTTTTTTGCTACTTTCTCAAATCATCAATAGCCTATAGTTGCGTCATGCAGCCCATATATGTTTTGATTTCTAAGACATTCTAAGGTTTGTATCTTTCACAACTAAAGTTGCCAAATAACTCTAAATCTAGCATATAGGACCTGTTTCAAATTATCACTTTTATGCTCAACATAGCCACTTCATATGCGCACTCGCTCCGGAATGGGAAAAATATCGTTTTTATTTCAAGTTCAATTATATTCTTCTGACTATAAAATCATATAATGTAAAATAATGGCATGGGACTTATAAGCATCTCTTGTCTGCTAAATGAACAAGCCTACAGCCTATGGCATGGAGCATTACCAGATAACATACAGTAGGCCAACTCGTATTATTTTCTTCTGAAATACATTTTCTTAAAATCATAATGTTTCTTTAGACCTGAATAAAATAAGTAATGGATTTATTGGGATGGTGTATATTCAATTGATTTATTATACTTTTTAAAATGTAGATGTTGCAAAGGCGCGCATCAGCCTCTTGTATGTAGCTTGTATGCGTGGAGGCCTGGCGATAGTAAATGTGTTTATGTTAATTAATGATCAATTACCGTGAGCCTGGCATTTCTTTGCATGACAATAACTGGCTGACAAAATGTCATGACCGCCACAGCCCTACTGTAGGTATTAAGTAGATTTTCTACATGCAGAGCCCCATCTCAAATCTTCTTCTTTACTATATCAATATCTCATGATCTCTTTAATGTCATTATTATCAACATGTCTCGATCTCTTTTGAATATCGTAATTGACTTTACTTCAATATCTTTTAATCTCTTATTTATTTCAGTTTTTTCATTTTTAAGATGGGCTAACAATAGATTTCATTTCCAGCGAAGCTCGGCATACTATGTTCTGACCGGCCCGTGTAGGACTAACTCTTTTATCTCTAACTTCCTGTTCTCCGTGGATATAAAAGTGAGTCATTATTGGTGTGATTTGACTATCCAAATTCCAGTACGAAAACCGTCTCGTAAACCGGCTGGTCACGTTTGGAGATTACAACATAAAGCCAGACACAACAGTGAAGCTGTTCATACTCTACATATAGTGCTACTGCTCCAGGGAGTCTACCATGCTCTACCATACTGAACTATGATAGGCTGCAATACTGTTTGTAGGGGTGACAGATAAAGGGACACATTTTCTCTCCTTTTGATCTCCTACACTCGCTTAGACCTTTTATCTTTGTTCACCATGCTCCACTCTCCTATTTGATCTTGGACAAATTCTCCTATTTGATCTTGGACAAATCTTAGAGTGTATATTGGCACACAATGCTCTTTGGCCTCAATAACGCTCCTACCCTGGTCTGGGATCAGTTTCACAGCACACCTATCCAGGTGTTGCAGATGGCAGCTGGAGGGCTGTATACTGACTTCAGAGCTGGGCTGTATACTGACTTCAGAGCTGCCCTTGATGATCCAGTGAGAGATAATCATGTCAGAAAATAATATGGTGTCAGAAGTCTACTGCTTTGATACACACGTGGCTCACTGTAGAGGGAAACAAGGAAAAGATGCCCAACGCTCTCTGTGTGTCGATCAACCGTTGCCTGCAAGTATGAAAGATAAAGGAGTATCAAAGGTAATTAAAATGACACTACTCATTTGAGCTCTTCGTATCATCTCCCATTATGACTCATGGTGTCGTGTTATACCAATGACACTAGTAACCAACCATTACTAAAGATTGTTTGTGGACACTAATCCTATCTGGACTGGCTGTAAAATCTCAGCTAAAATTAGATTATGTATTTTCTCCTTTGTAATAGTAATGTAGGATGAAGTGGCCCCTATACACTGATCTAAGGTCAGTGTTTGTTTTTTCCCCCAATTGTTGAAGTTCCAGTTTGAGTAGTTAGCACCCCGGGGTGCTGTGACATCAGTTCAAACATGTTCTTTTATAATGATATACATTACTAGAACATGTCTACAACTCTAGTGAAACCCCAAATCAACATTGGTGTATAATATCTATCCTTTACTTTTCTGACATCTGTTAGTCATCTAATCAGTTTCACACCTACTTTCTTTGAAACAGATTGATATACTGTGATTCTCCATTAAAACAAAAACAAAAATCATAATGTATACCAAATCATTTATAGTGTATAAGACTGATTTAAAATGCACCAGCATCGCCTGGAGGACGGGGTTGTGTATTAGCAAGGTACTGAACTGATACATGAAGGCCATGGTCTGTTGCTCTTTGCCTCACACAAACCAATTACGGAGTGACACATTTTCACCCAATTACAACAAAGCTTATTGGTATGTACAGTTGAAGACTGTTTTTGCTGCTATTACCAGTTCGGAATATAATGTGGTGTACACTACTGCTACAAAGTCACTGTTCCATTTCTTTGTATGTCCCAGTACATGCACAGTGCCTTCAGAAAGTATACACACCCATTTACTTTTTCCACATCTTGTTGGGTTACAGCCTGAATTTAAAATTGATTGACCTACTGTAGAAGTTGGATTTTCACCTCAAGTGTGGCTGAGGTTAATTGATTGGACAACCACTTGAGTTTTTGATCATGGGTATTGGTCCAAATATGAGTAGTTCATAAAAAAAAGCAAGCGTGCCGATTGCAATCAATGCACAATCAGCGCTGGAATTTCGAGCCTGCGGGACATGTTTATGACAGCTTTTTATTTTATTTTTACAGACCATTTGACAGCGTCAAATTAAACAGTCAGTGCAGAAGAGAATGAGAGGTTTGGAGATTGAGATGGTTCTATTTAGAAAAGTACTATATCCTCTCATTTGTAATTCTGTAAAAAAAAATCCCTTTTTCAATATTAAACAGAAATGATTTAGCCCTTAGCCTTGTGTGTTTAATTCATTTCATTTCCTTTTTGCTTCTTTCTTTTCCTCATAGAAAGATAATTTGTCAAGCCAGTGCTGTAGAACATGCTTTGTATAGACAGTACAAGTTTTTAGCACAAACTGGCTTTCTTTGATGTTTTTCATTCAAAGGAAATGACTAGCGCTGACTAATCTCATGTTATCTCATGTATTGACTCCAATAGCAGTGTAGGATTATCAAAGCTTATTATTACTCTCATATCTTTTTCATATCCTGTCATGTCTGCCTCAGTTGAATAGTCTTTCCATCATTACTGTATCTGTGGAAAATGAACTTGGAGTAAAAAAACAAAAAACATCTAACTCTACATCAATGTTTTGGGTACCTTTTCTTCCTTTGCTCAACCACTCTGATCATACTGCGGATTGTACATGATCATACTTAACTAACTTCTCACCATATCTCTTTGTCTTTGCAGGACCCCAGAACCAAGCACAAGTTTAAGATCCACACCTATGGCAGCCCCACCTTCTGCGACCACTGTGGCTCTCTCCTGTATGGTCTCATCCACCAGGGGATGAAGTGTGACAGTGAGTAAAGTACCTCTCCATCCACTTAGACTTGGAATCACTATACACACTACATAATGCATTAGATAGTGGCTCTGTTCCAAACGTCCACACTTGCGTACTACTTAGTATGAGGCAATGTATTGGGTATCAAATCAAATCAAATCAAATCAAATTTTATTGGTCACATGCGCCGAATACAACAGGTGCAGACATTACAGTGAAATGCTTACTTACAGCCCTTAACCAACAGTGCATTTATTTTAAACAAAAAAGTAAGAATAAAACAACAACAAAAAAGTGTTGAGAAAAAAGAGCAGAAGTGAAATAAAGTGACAGTAGGGAGGCTATATATACAGTAAAATAAAGTGACAGTAGGGAGGCTATATATACAGGGGGGTACCGTTGCATAGTCAATGTGCGGGGGCACCGGCTAGTTGAGGTAGTTGAGGTAATATGTACATGTGGGTAGAGTTAAAGTGACTATGCATAAATACTTAACAGAGTAGCAGCAGCGTAAAAAGGATGGGGTGGGGGGGCAGTGCAAATAGTCCAGGGTAGCCATGATTAGCTGTTCAGGAGTCTTATGGCTTGGGGGTAGAAGCTGTTGAGAAGTCTTTTGGACCTAGACTTGGCACTCCGGTACCGCTTGCCGTGCGGTAGCAGAGAGAACAGTCTATGACTAGGGTGGCTGGAGTCTTTGACAATTTTGAGGGCCTTCCTCTGACACCGCCTGGTATAGAGGTCTTGGATGGCAGGGAGCTTTGCCCCAGTGATGTACTGGGCCGTATGCACTCTATCCAAGGGCAAGGGCTATTAGTACGGTATTGATATTGGAATGTAGCTGCAATGTCAGTTGGTATCAATGGCATACTTAAACCCTGTTTACATTTGCACTTTGAATTAGGGGACATATTCTGAAATGGAATTCTGAAAATCGGGCTGGGTCGGGGGAAACCCGGCCAGAGCAGCCCAGTTCCACAGCTGGTGCTAACCCGGTGCTGCCGTTACTATACAATCAGCAGCTGATCGGTGCTGTGTCTCATGTGGCTCAATTGGTAGAGCATGGAGCTTGCAACGCCAGTGTTGTGGCGGGTTCGATTCCCATGGGGGACCAGTATGAAAAAGTATAGAAAATGTATGCACTCACTACTGTAAGTCGCTCTGGATAAGAGTGCCTGCTAAATGACTAAAATGTAAAAATGTAAAATGCTGGTCTGGATGCTGACACGTTTAGCTAGCATGGATTTTAGCTAGCCAGGTTATATTGAACGCTAGCTAGCTACATCCTATCAAACCTGTCGATTCATGACTAACTGCATACATGAAGTGTGTCTGAAAGTGGGCGTGTCAACAGAAGTGGGAGGATCAACAGAAGTCTCCCGAGTGGCGCAGTGGTCTAAGGCACTAGCTGTGCCGCTAGAGATCCTGGTTCGAATCCAGGCTCTGTCGTAGCCGGCCGCGACCGGCAGACCCATGGGGCGGCGCACAATTGGCCCAGCGTCGTCCAGGGTAGGGGAGGGAATGGCCAGCAGGGATGTAGCTCAGTTGGTAGAGCATGGCGTTTGCAACGCCAGGGTTGTGGGTTCGTTTCCCACGGGGGACCAGTATGAAAAAATATATATATATAATAATGTATGCACTCACTAACTGTAAGTCGCTCTGGATAAGAGCGTCTGCTAAATGATTAAAATGTAAATGTAAGTGGGTGTATGGAAAGCGAATCAGCTAATTGGGCAAATTTGTTGCCACTCAAGACCGTTTTGCGTGGCTGATGGACTGCACGATGAGTCGAATGTTGATAACTGTAGCATTTTAGATAAGCCTAACCCTGACCCTTTTCCTAACCTGAACCTCATTTTCCTAACCTGCCACTTTAATTATCCTAACCTGCTACGCATTTTAGCTAAGCCTAACCCTGACCCTTTTCCTAACCTGAACCTCATTCTCCTAACCTGACACGTTAATTCTCCTAACCTGCCACGTTAATTCTCCTAACCTGCTACGTTAATTATCCTAACCTGCGATGTAAACATTAAGCTGACACGCGGTGCACCTGGCTATGGCCGATCTAAACAATTATGGAGCTCTGATGTTACACCCATCGCTGTTGATCCACCCACTGATGTCGTCGGATTTGCTTGATTAGCTAGCTAGCTAGCAAGCTAACTACAGTGCGTTTAGAAAGTATTCAGACCCATTGACTGTTTCCACATTTTGTTACGTTACAGCCTTATTCTAAAATGGATTACATCGTTTTTTCCTCATCAATCTACACACAATACTCCATAATGACAAAGAAAAAACAGGTTTTTAGAAATTGTAGCAAATGTATATAAGAAAAAAAAACCTGAAATAACATTTACATAAGTATTAAGACCCTTTACTCAGTACTTTGTTGAAGCACCTTTGGCAGTGATTAAAGCCTTGAGTCTTCTTGGGTATGACGCTACAAGCTTGGCAAACCTGTATTTAGGGAGTTTCTCCCATTCTTCTCTGCAGATCTGCTCAAGCTCTGTCAGGTTGGATGTGGAGCGTCGCTGCACAGCTATTTTCAGGTCTCAACAGAGATGTTAGATCGGGTCCAAGTCCGGGCTCTGGCTGGCATTCAAGAGACTTGTCCCGAAGCCACTCCTGCGTTGTCTTGGCTATGTGCTTAGGGTCGTTGTCCTGTTGGAAGGTGAACCTTCGCCCCAGTCTGAGGTCCTGAGTGCTCTGGAGCAGGTTTTCATCAAGGATCTCTCTGTACTTTGCTCCGTTCATCTTTCCCTCGATCCTGACTAGTCTCCCAGTCCCTGCCGCTGAAAAACATCCCCACAGCATGATGCTGCCACCACCATGCTTCAACGTAGAGATGGTACCAGGTTTCCTCCAGAGGTGACGCTTGGCATTCACGCCAAAGAGTTCAATCTTGGTTTCATCAGACCAGAGAATCTTGTTTCTCATGGTCTGGGTCCTTTAGGTGCCTCTTGGCAAACTCCAAGCGGGCTGTCATGTGCCTTTTATTGAGGAGTGGCTTCCGTCTGGCCACCCTAACATAAAGGCCTGATTGGTGGAGTGCTGCAGAGATGGTTGTCCTTCTGGAAGGTTCTCCCATCTCCACAGAGGAACTCTGGAGCTCTGTCAAAGTGACTATTGGGTTCTTAGTCACCTCCCTGACCAAGGCCCTTCTCCCCCGATTGCTCAGTTTGGCCGGGCGGCCAGCTCTAGGAAGGGTCTTGGTGGTTCCACACTTCTTATATTTAAGAATGATGGAGGCCACTGTGTTCTTTGGGACCTTCAATAATGCTGACATTTTTTGGTACCCTTCCCCAGATCTGTGCCTCGACACAATCCTGTCTCGAAGCTCAACGGACAATTCCTTCGACCTCATGGCTTGGTTTTTGCTCTGACATGCACTGTCAACTGTGGGACCTTATATAGACAGGTATGAGCCTTTCCAAATCATGTCCAATCAAATGAATTTACCACATGTGGACTCAAATCAAGTTGTAGAAACATCTCAAGGATGATCAATGAAAACAGGATGCACCTGAGCTCAATTTTGAGTCTCATAGCAAAGGGTCTGAATACTTATGTTTTATAAATTTGCAAAAATGTCTAAATACCTGTTTTCACTTTGTCATTATGGGGTATTGTGTGTGTATATTGATGAGGATTTTATTTTATCAATTTTGGAATAAGGCTGTAACGTTACAAAATGTGGAAAAAGTCAAGGGGTCTGAGTACTGTACATGGTGTCTGGCTAGCACTGGCAGGAGTATGGGGTAACATTAGTTACAGTGTGGTGAGGGTGAATTCAATTATTTCTTCAACATCTTGCTATCTAGCTAGTTGTAGCAAAAGGACTTTCTACAAAATTTCGGTAGCTAGCTAGCAACATTAGCGAAGCTAGATGCATAGTCACATTGGCTACCTAGCAACATGACATCATTTCTAAATTCTGGAGGCAGTGGAAACACAATTCGAGATGGCCCACCAAGGCCCAACCCAGGTTGATTTCTAAGTTCCAATGGAAACAAGGCTTTAGATGTTGTAACTTAGGAGTCAGGAAGCAGGTGCAGTTAGTGAGTTTAATAACTACTAACATGGAACGATACAAAACAAGAGAAGCGTCTGACATGGAAACACAAACAATACTACCTGATGACTAGTAACAAAGGAGTGCTATATGAATTGTAAGTAATCAGTGAGTAATGAAGTCCAAGTGTGACTGATGATGAGACGCAGGTGTGCGTAATGGTGGTTGCCAGGTGTACGTGAAGATGGGTTGCCAGGACCAGTGGTTAGCAGACCGGCGACGTCGAACGCCGGAGGGGAGGAGCGGGAGTAGACGTGACAGTACCCCACCCTGACTCGCGGCCCCAGCTGCAGGACGACACCGGCCAGGGGGATGGCCCCGAGGGCGAGGAGCGAGCCGGTCCGGACGGCGAAGGTGGAAATCTCAGATGATGTTGGGATCTAGAATGTCGTCCACTGGAACCCAACACCGCTCCTCTGGACCGTACCCCTCCCAGTCCACCAGGTACTGGAGTCGACCCCCACGATGTCGGGAGTCCAGGAGGGATCTGATGGCATAGGCGGGGCTTCCCTCGATATCCAGGGGAGGGGGAGGGGTGTTGTGGGGGACGGCATCAGCCAGGGGACCAGGAACCACCGCCTTGAGGAGGGAAACGTGAAAAGAGGGTGAGATCCGGTAGTTAGAGGGGAGTTGTAATCTGTATGTTACCTCGTTCACCCTCCGGAGGACCTTGAACGGCACCACAAACCGGGGACTCAGCTTCTTACAGGGCAGGCAGAGCGTGAGGTTCCTGGTGGAGAGCCAGACGCATTGTTCCATAACTCTTCTGCGCGCCTGAACCACTCGTCCACCGCAGGAGCTTCGGTCTGGCTCGGAGTCCACGGGGCCAGGGCTGGCTGGTAACCTAGAACACACTGGAAGAGAGTCAGCCCAGTGGAGGAATGTTGCATCGAATTCTGGGCATATTCCGGGCCCACTGCCCCTGCCGGTCCTGGCAGTGACTCCTCAGGAACTTCCCCAGCTCCTGGTTCATCCTCTCCACCTGCCCGTTAGACTGAGGCCAGTACCCAGAAGTGAGGCTAACCATGACCCCCAGCTTCTCTATAAAGGCTTTCCATACCCGTGACGTGAATTGGGGGCCACGGTCGGAGACTATATCCTCCTGAAGGCCATAGTGCCGGAAGACCTGCTGGAACAGTGCCTCAGCGACCTGGAGAGTGGTAGGGAGCCCAGAGAGAGGGATGAAACAGCATGATTTAGAGAATCTGTCCACTATCACCAAAATGGTGATAAAACCTTCAGAAGAGTACAAACCGAACATGAATTGACATAGTGGTGCTATGTCCTGCGCCAAAGGGGGCCACCAGTATTTATCAGAAAGGGATTTGATAGTGCGGGTGATACCTGGGTGTCCTGCGGCGAGGGATGTGTGTGTCCAGGTCATCAGCCGATCTCTCACCCTTGTGGGAACATAGATGCGCTCTGGAGGGCAGGTGGTAGGAGTGGGTTCCCTTTCCAGAGCCTGGCAGATGTCCACATCTACGTCCCAACATACGGGGCCAACGATACAGTAGGACTGATTGATGGGCTGGTGAACGCTAACAGGGCCCTCAACCGTCATGGAACCACAAGGTACGGGAAAGCAGGTCCTCCGACATCCTGGTCCCCAGGCGGTAATTTTCATACTCGACCATGTGATGGTGGGATTGTGACGTTGGAGCCATGGGAGGCCGAGAATTACCTTGTGTACTGGTGTGGAGGTGATGGAGAATGGAAGGCTTTCCTGGTGCATGGGTCCCACAGTGAGGTTGAGTGGTGCTGTGATGTGCGTGACTGTGCCGGTTCCTAATGGTCGTGTGTCCAGAGCTTGGATAGGAAAAGGAGAGGAGAACGGATATGAGGTTAAGTTCAGGGAGGAGGCAAGGGCCTGGTCGATGAAGTTCCCAGCGGCATCGGAGTCCACTAGAGCTGTAGAGACAACACTTGAGGGACAGCCAGCCAGTGAAATAGGAACCGTAAAGGGTTTGGCGGAAAACTATGAAAATGGGATACTCACGCCTACCCTGGGATATGGAAGGTCACGGGGCCGCCCCTCTGCTCTAGTGGACCCCGGGTTAGGGCGCACCGGACACCACTGAAGCTGCCCCTCCTGGCCGCAATAGGGACAGAGCCCCAGCTGTCTCCGGCGACACTGCTCTGCCGCGGAGAGGTGTGTGGCCCCTACCTCCATGGGTTCAGGCTCTGATTCAGAACGGTCAACGAAGGAGGGAGAGAGGCGATGGGGGTGCCGACACTCCAGAAGAAGGTTATCCAGACGGATGGCCATCGCGATGAGCGAGTCCAAGGTTAGATTGTCATCTTGGCACGCCAACTCCATCTGGACCTCTTCGCGCAATCCTCTTCTGAATAGGGTGCAGAGCGTCGGCTCATTCCATCTGCTGGATGCGTACTCCGCCATGGTCTGGCCATCCTGCCGTAGTTGGAGTAGGCGCTCACCCCCCTCTCTGCCCTTTGGTGGATGGTCAAAGACCCCCCTGAACAGAGCCCAGCTCCTCCTTTCCTCTCTCCCAGACGGCTGTAGCCCACTCCAACACCCATCCGGTCAGCAGGGAAATAACCGTGGCAACCTTGGACCTCTCGGTGGTGGGGGCTCCCATCTGGTGAGTGAAATAGAGGGAGCACTGGAGTAGGAAGCCATGGCATTTAGATGTTGACCCTTCATATTTGTCCGGGAGGGACAAACGGGCATCGCTGACCTGGGTGGACTATTGGATGGGCTGGGGTGCTGGCCCTCTGTGTCGACTTGTGGTGGAGAATCCTCCGCTTGTTGGAGCTGACGCCCCTCGGGGAATGTCGAGACTTGAAGAACGCGGAGGACCTCTTCCATAGCCGTCCCCAGTTGTGCCAGCTGGTCGTGGTGTTGGCGAAGTAGGTGTCTCTGTTCGCTGACCATCTGGAAGATGTTCTGATTAACTGCTGCTTCCATTTGGTGACGTAGTATTCTGAAACGTAGACGCCGGGAGTCAGGAAGCAGGTGCAGTTAGTGAGTTTAATAACAATGAACATGGAACGACACAAAACAACAGACGTGTCTGACATGGAAACACAAAAAATATACTAACTGATGACTAGTAACAAAGGAGTGCTATATGAAGGGGAGTAATGAAATCCAGGTGTGCATGAAGATGGGTTGCCAGGACCGGTGGTTAGTAGACCGGCGACGTCGAACACCGGAGGGGAGGAGAGGGAGTAGATGTGACAGATGTGCTCAAAGTACATTCAAACATAACTTTATTGACATCGCTCGTACTGCACAGGACACAATGATGTTCAATTACAATGCTGTAATTTTGCCCAATTATGTTTTCCATTATTTAAAACTGCATTTCCATTTTCTGTCCATTCCTTCCAGCAATTTCCCTTCTAAAACCCACACATGATTCACTCTGTCCAGAGATCTTTAAATATACATTATCAAAGCTGCTGCGCGGCTTCATTAGTGCAATTCCCTCAGTCTTATGATTTTCATATGTGATAAAGCACGAATGACTTTAAATCTATGGTAAATAGTACATCATATCTCTTCACCAGAGCTGGCGTGTAATATTAATTATGACTCAGGGCTATATATAAATAGGGATTATGTTATGGTTGGAAAATGACTTTGGCACACACTGGCTGTTCTAATCATACTGCATATTAGATTATCATCATGTGTTTTTAATTGCGGGTTGTTATATTGTAGACTAGAGGCTACACCTGGCCTTTTGACTTCATAAATAAAGCACATCAGTTTTTGCTTAAACCATCATTTTTAGATTGTTTACCTTTCTTCTGTCTCTCCTGCTGTCTCTCTCTTTCTGTCTGTCTACATCCCTTCAGCCTGTGACATGAACGTGCACAATCAGTGTGTGATGAACGTGCCCAGCATGTGTGGGACGGACCACACCGAGAGGAGGGGACGCCTCTACCTGAAGTGTGAGGTCACAGTGGACAAGCTGCAGGTCACAGGTAGGCCTCCGGACCTTACCATCTCTCAGACAAATCTATTTCTCCGAGTGTGTCCCAAATGGCACCCTACTCCCTTTATAGTGCACTACTTTTGAACAAAGCCCACAGGGATCTGATCAAATGCAGTGCACTATGAAGGGAATAGGGTGCCATTTCAGGCGCGTCCGTTGCCTTCTTCCCCAGTGGGGTTGTGATGTGTAATGGCTGACAGAGCTTCCTCTTACCTTTTCATAATCAGTCCCAACCATCAGTCCCCAACCACTTTAGCTGTCAGCTGCCTGTTACAGCCCCATCTTGACTGATAAGAAAGAAACAGCTTCTGGCCTCAAATCCACTCACAGCATGGATCACTTCCACCGGGCACTCATCACCACTGATTCCTGGCAATCTGTGTATGTGTGTTCGTTCGTGTGTGGGTGTGTGTGTGGGTGTGGGTGTGTGTGCGTGCATGTGTGTTCCCTCTAACCGTAGCCTACATCGATTTCTATTTACACAATTGTCAATTGGATAAATAGGCCCAGGCTTTGAAAACCATTCCATTGTAAAAACACCTGTTCCCAGTTCAATAGATGAAGTGAACTGGTTGTCATAACAAATATCTCCTTTGTCTGTTTTTGAGTGACAGCAGCCCAGAGACAGCAGGTGGTGAAGCAACCATCACTTAATAAAAGCCAGTCTGCAGCCTACAGAGACACGGGTCAATTCCCTTTGGTATACAGATCAATACTGTGTGTGCTTTCCAAATGGCACCCTATTCCCTATATAGTGCACTACTTTTACATGTATTTAGTGAGTCATTACTCGTTTCTCATGTCTTTCTGTGTGTGTGTGGTGCGCACGCATCCACCTGCGTGTGTGTGTGTTTAACTCTGTTGGTTCTGCATTGAATGAACAGCCCCAAAGATGGTCCAATCAGGCAATATGCTTAGTGCTACTGCATAAAGTGGTACCGCATTTTACTTCAAGGCCAAAATATTGATACTACTGAAGTGGTGCAGTGGTTAAAAACTGTATTTTTGGGGTTTCTTTGATATGGCATGGGATGTTGTAGGAAACAGTTCCCTCTTTATGCTAATTGTAGCTAATGCAGCAGTAGTTCCATAGTAATCACATACACATGTATGTACAGTGGGGAGAACAAGTATTTGATACACTGCCGATTTTGCAGGTTTTCCTACTTACAAAGCATGTAGAGGTCTGTAATTTTTATCATAGGTACACTTCAACTGTGAGAGACGGAATCTAAAACAAAAATCCAGAAGATCACATTGTATGATTTTTAAGTAATTAATTTGCATTTTATTGCATGACATAAGTATTTGATCACCTACCAACCAGTAAGAATTCCGGCTCTCTTTTTCTTTAAGAAGCCCTCCTGTTCTCCACTCATTACCTGTATTAACTGCACCTGTTTGAACTCGTTACCTGTATAAAAGACACCTGTCCACACACTCAATCAAACAGACTCCAACCTCTCCACAATGGCCAAGACCAGAGAGCTGTGTAAGGACATCAGAGATAAAATTGTAGACCTGCATAAGGCTGGGATGGGCTACAGGACAATAGGCAAGCAGCTTGGTGAGAAGGCAACAACTGTTGGCGCAATTATTAGAAAATGGAAGAAGTTCAAGATGACGGTCAATCACCCTCGGTCTGGAGCTCCATGAGGAAGGTGAGGGATCAGCCCAGAACTACACGGCAGGACCTGGTCAATGACCTGAAGAGAGCTGGGACCACAGTCTCAAAGAAAACCATTAGTAACACACTACGCCGTCATGGATTAAAATCCTGCAGCGCACGCAAGGTCCCCCTGCTCAAGCCAGCGCATGTCCAGGCCCGTCTGAAGTTTGCCAATGACCATCTGGATGATCCAGAGGAGGAATGGGAGAAGGTCATGTGGTCTGATGAGACATAAATAGAGCTTTTTAGTCTAAACTCCACTCGCCGTGTTTGGAGGAAGAAGAAGGATGAGTACAACCCCAAGAACACCATCGCAACCGTGAAGCATGGAGGTGGAAACATCATTCTTTGGGGATGCTTTTCTACAAAGGGGACAGGACGCCTGCACCGTATTGAGGGGAGGATGGATGGGGCCATGTATCGTGAGATCTTGGCCAACAACCTCCTTCCCTCAGTAAGAGCATTGAAGATGGGTCGTGGCTGGGTCTTCCAGCATGACAACAACCCGAAACACACAGCCAGGGCAACTAAGGAGTGGCTCCGTAAGAAGCATCTCAAGGTCCTGGAGTGGCCTAGCCAGTCTCCAGACCTGAACCCAATAGAACATCTTTGGAGGGAGCTGAAAGTCCGTATTGCCCAGCGACAGCCCCGATACCTGAAGGATCTGGAGAAGGTCTGTATGGAGGAGTGGGCCAAAATCCCTGCTGCAGTGTGTGCAAACCTGGTCAAGACCTACAGGAAACATATGATCTCTGTAATTGCAAACAAAGGTTTCTGTACCAAATATTAAGTTCTGCTTTTCTGATGTATCAAATACTTATGTCATGCAATAAAATGCAAATTAATTAATTAATTAATTTTAGATTCCGTCTCTCACAGTTGAAGTGTACCTATGATCAAAATTACAGACCTCTACATGCTTTGTAAGTAGGAAAACCTGCAAAATCGGCAGTGTATCAAATACTATCAAATTCTCCCCACTGTATGTAGTAGTGTAGCCTACAGTGTCATTTCAGTGTTGGTACACATTCGGATTCAGTACAATGACTACAATTTCATTTGCTGCTTGTGTAATTACATACATGTAGAATTTCCTCCCCTAATAATATTATGGATGCCCCCAAACCTAGGGCTGTGGCGATCACGAAATTCCGTCAGCCGGTGATTGTCAAGCAAATAACTGTCGGTCTCACTGTAATTGACCGTTAATTAACATAAACACATTTAGCATCTCCTGGCTTCTGCACATAGCCTACAAGCCACTGATGCAGACCTTTGGAACATCTACATTTTAAAAAGTCTAATAAATCCATGTAATATAGCCTACACCTTCACAATAAATCCATTATTTATTTTAGACAGGTCTAAAGAAGCATGATATGAAGAAAATGTAGTCTATTTCAGAAGAACAGAATAGCATACTCTGAGTTGTCCTTATGTTAGGTCCTGATCTGGCTATGCCAAATGGCTTTGGGCTACACTAGTTCATTTAGCAGACAAGATTTGCTCAGAATTCTGTGGCATTATTTTATAGGATGAAGAATACAATTGAACAAAGCTGAATAAAATAGAAAGGATATTTTCTCCAAACGATTTGAGGGAGTGTGCACATGCGGCTATTCTGTGTTGAGCGGTTAACAAAGAAATAGGTACTCCTATATGCATCATTTAGAGTTATTAATGTAACTTTAGTTGTTCTACAAATGTTGGGCTATATGTTTTGATTAATACATTGTAAGGCTGCGTGATGCGACTCTAATGATTTTTTTGTTTTAAGTTGCTTGAAAGGCATGAGCTCTGCTTTGTTTTTTGCGCAGGCTGTACAAGCAGTACACACTCAGTCTCTCATTCACAATTTGATAATTACTTGATAACACCTCAAATTTCACGGCGGCATCCTCTTTGTGTGGCCGTAATGCACCCTAAAAAAATCAATACCTTTTGCGGCCAGTGGCCGTTGTGCCCTTGGCCCGGATTGCTGCATTGTGCCCTTCTCCCTGAGTGCTGCGCGCTCACATGGCTCTCCATCACGTGATCGGGTCTTTCTCACAGGCTACAAGTGAAGACAGACACATCGGGGACGCAACTGCGCACGTCCTTATCCAATTCCGAGGTGCATATTGAAGATATTGGAAGAACTGTCCACATTTACTTTTCGTCAGCCAACAAGATGAGTAGGTCTAACAAACAGGAAAAGCACTAGCCTATGTCAATCTACTATCCCCCATAGTACAAAAGTCGACATATTCTATTCTCTGCGAGATATAAATATTCCAATATCCCAGTTGTGGTTGTATTAATTTGATGTATCCCAAATTAATACAACCACTAGCATCAAAAAACCTTTTTTACGCAATGTGGCTGACGCAACATATCAGAACTTTTAGCTTAAAATGTTGATAAACTATTAGGCTATTTCTTCACATTATAAGCGCAGCAATGCGCACATGTTAGTAGGCTATAAGCGCGAATGTTCCATTAGCGGAAAACACTATTATCAAAAGTGACCGCAAATGTGATTGTGCATGTAATGCTTTTATTATAAAGGTGCATTTTTATGGTGAAAATGATCTCCCCCAAACTTGAAATTCACGCGTTGCTTATGTATGTCAGTTAGGCTCTACACCCCTTGTAAAGCGTATGAATGTGCTTAATTTTAAGAAGTTATTTGGCCATTTTAGCTGTGATACAAACCTTATCAAAACATATAGTCCTATGGGCTAGGCTACATGAGGTGTGCGACTATGATTTGAAAAAGTCACAAAGGGCATCATTCACAGGTGATAAGATATAATATATAAAGTGATAGGCTAATATTGTCACCCATCAGACTATTCTTGATTTAATCTTGTCTTTACATATATACTAAATAATATATGTGTGAAATTTGTTTTGACTTAGAATGGACCATTGTCATGCACCTGTCTCAAAACAGGGCCAGCGGAAAAAATACATGTAATCTATGCACTTAAATAGCGAATGAAGGACGCTTTTTCCATGGTTCATTTTCATGCCAGCCATGTAGGCTATACTCCTGTTGTGAAGATAAGGAATGTGCTTAATATTAGGAAAGTTTAGAAATAAAAATTGTAAGTCTATAGAAAGCTGATGGGAAACTCCTCTTTTTAGTAGAGGCCATCACTGTTTTCTCACGCAATTGCATAACCTATAGAAATGTTGCGCAACATGAGCTCATGGGCTCTCATGAAGTGTTTGATTCGATTTTCGATTACATTTGCATTGATGGCAGAGTGATTAGAGGGACATTAGAGTGCTGAGTACCAGGTCGTTAGCAAGTTGGGTAGGCTTCTAATGACAATCAGAAGCATCAGAGCTTGGAGAAGTCTAATTACCATGACATTACTGTTGACCGCCGGTGTGGCGGTAATACGGTCACTGCAACAGCTCTACCCACACCACACATAGGGCTGTAGGAAATTGGAAACAGGTACACACAGTCCATTAACTGGTTAAGCTGGGGTCACCAAATCACATCACATTCTTTCACCACACTGTTATTATTTTATCACCCACGAGATGGAAGCAACGCCGGAAATATTCAATCAAATAGGGCAGTGATCTTTGGCTTAAGTTAATTCCAAAGTGTAAAACACACACTGTTGACATTACATTTCCTTTTCCAGGGAACTGATAATGCCAAGTCATGTACTTGTCATACAGCACTTGCCCTAAATCTTCCATTATTGAGAGTTCACTCTAGAACCATAGTAGCTCTATTATGTATCCCCAAATGTTTTGTTAGATAGAAAATTGCAGTTCAGTTCAGCTCAGTCCAGATAAACTTGTTTCCCTCCGATATGTGAGGTCACTTTTCACTGCCCAATCAGACGCCTGGCTGGCTGCCAAGCGCCCAAACCAGACCTGACGTGTGTGTATAATTTGAGGGTGGCTTCCCTCCGTCGGCATAATTGCTAGTGTGAAATTAAGTGCAGGGGAGGAGGAAGGAAT